AAGTCGACGCACTTCGGGGAGGCGGCCTTGTCGGCGTCGTTGTTGCTCAGGCTGAAGCTCTCCTCCCAGGAGTGGCTGATCTGCATTGCGGTCTGCACCTCGCGCTCGTGCACCGTCTCGCGGTTGGTGAGGTCCATGCCCTCCTCCTGGCGCAGCTGGTGCAGCCGGCTGCTGTGCATGCGCACCGGCGAGGCAGGCAGCAGCAGGCCGAGGAGGCCCGGGAACTTGGTGCTGTTGCGCCGGGCGCTCGGGGCCTCGGCCTGGAACACGGGCGTGGTGTCACTGAGGCTGTGGATCAGAGGCGCGCTGCTGGACCTGCGCAGGGCCCCGCCGCCCTCGGCCGGGCCCGCGCCTGCGCCGGGCGGCAGCTCCAGGTCCAGCTCCATCTTCTCGTGAGCCATGTCCGCCGCCGGGAGGCGGGGGTGGTGCTCGCTCAGGGGCCCGGGATGTCCATGCCCCGCAGTCCAGGGCGGCCGCCGCCGCTGCCGCCAGCGAGAGTCGTTTGGCTTTTTTTTAATCCACCCTTTCCCTACTCTACCACCATCACTTCCTACTTTTGCCTACACCATTCAATACCCCTCTACCTTTGACCAGCCCTTGATGTGACGGCCTAAGTCTCAAGCCATCAGGATTTCTGTGATTCTGAACAATTCATGCTGCTGTCAGTCTCTTATGATGCAGCTAGTATGATTTCAATTTAAAGTCTCTAAGTACAACTGTCATGTACAGAAGATTTCTACCAACTTTCGCATTCAGGAATTGATCAAACTTGCAATCAAGATGCATTGATAATAATAGGTGACTGGAACGCAGAAGTTGGGAACAGGGAAGAAGGATCAGTAGCTGGAAAACATGGACTCAGATAAATGAAGCTGGAGATAGAATGATAGAATTCTGAACATTCAATGATTTATTCATTGCAAATACCTTTTATAAGAAACATAAACGCAGGCTATACACATGGATTTTACCTGATGCTATGCAGAGGAATCAAATAGATTACATTTGTGGAAAGACTCCCTGGAGAAACTCAATATCAGCTGTGAAAATCAGGTCAGGTGCTGACTGTTGGACACAACCAACTACTCATATGCAAGTTCAAGCTGAAGTCGAGGAAAATTAATCAAGTCCATGGGAACGAAAATTTGACCTTAAATCTGTCCCACTTGAATTTCAAAACCATCTCAGGAACAGGTTTGAGGCCTTGAGCACCAATGAGCGTAGACCAAATGAGCTCTGGCAGGATATCAAGAAAATCATCCATGAAGAATGCAAAAGATCATTACAAAGGCTGAAGAAGAAGAACAGACCAAGATGGATGTCAGAT